CTACAAGATTGTGGCCCAGGTCAACCCTGTTGCCTTTCGCTTACTCCTGCCCGACCACCTCTGGATCCACCCCGTGTTCCATCGCTCCCTCCTCCAGTTGGCAGCCCCTCCAGATCCCAACCGGGATGCGCCAGCTGCGCCGCCACCACCAGTCTTGGTGGACGATGAGGAAGAGTACGAGGTCCAACAGGTCCTCGATTCTTGGTTGCACAGGGGTAACCTACAATACCTCATCGACTGGAAGGGCTATGGACCTGATGATCGCTCCAGGGGCCCTGCCTCGAACGTACACGCCCCAGAATTGGTTCAACAATTCCATGACGCCTACCCCGACAAACCGGGCTCTTCGGATGGGGGGGTTCTGAGGGGAGGATAGTGTCGTGTCTGCCCTTGACTCAGCCCCAGAGCCAGCTCCTGACAGCCTAAGAGGGGAGGATTCAGTGCCTTTAAGAGCTGAAGAAGCATCAGGATCTGCACCTACTGTGAGTACTGAGGAGGATACACAGCAATCTGAGTCAACTACAGGACGGTTTGCACCTGGGACTGAGCAGGCCATAAGCAGCTCACCACCTGCATCTCCCCCACCTGTAAGTAGGCTTAGGGATCAGAGACATCAGGAGCTGGCTAGCAGACGAAAAGAGGCACGTTCAAGAGGGCGGAGATCCTTGAGCCCTGAGTTTTAACAGCAGCCAGGACCTCGCACACAGGTGCTAATGAGTTAATGGGCCAGAGCACTGTTTAGTAGGGCCTCTGGCCATGAGCAAGTTGTGCTGGCAACCTCGTTCGTAGAACCAGAAGCTCTGCATCTTGATTCCTGTTTGACTCTGTGGCTTTTGGACTCGGCTTGTGTTTGGACTGCTCTGGCTCCTGACTTCCAGCTTTGAACTTGACCACGCCCTTGGCTTTGCTCCCTGTATTCTGACCTCTGGTAACGTTTGACTACGGCTTTGTCTGGTGTTTCTGGACTTGTTTAATGCTCTGCTGACTGCTCTCCTGGCTGACCTTTGGACTGGTATTGTGACTCCCCCTGTCTGCCTACCTCCCTGGCTCTACCGTGACAAACACTAGCCTTGTTGCCCTCAAGAACTCCTGTGAAATTTCACCCTCTCCGTCTGCCTCCTCAGCCTGCACTTTACTGAGGTGAGACAGATCTTCTTCTTCACTAGGAAGATCCACAGCCTCCTGATGCACCTGGGTGGAACTGCACCCTTCCCCCTTTTGGAAGACCCCTCCCTCATGGTTTGAGTTGGGTTGGCCCTCCCCCTCCTGGATCACTTGGGTTCCCCCTTCTCCTGAAGTAACCTGAGCCACTTCCTCCCCCAGGCTGGTGGAGAGATGGTCTCTGCAGAGACAATTTCTTCCCCCGCCTCCCCCCCTTCTAGGATTTGGCTGCATGTTACTATATTTACTGAGTATTTGCCACTAAGGAGATCCTGGCCAAGTAACACAAGGTAGGAACAATATCAGAATCTGACACCCGATCGGTCCACATTACGGTTACAGGGGAACCTGTGTCGATATATCTCAAAACCAACCAGTCTCTCAGCCGCACCAGTTCTACATTGTCACCCCAGGCTTCCACTGGCTCCATGGTAGCAAAGAGGCACTTGTGGCTAATTGTGGCCACCTGCTCCTCTTTTACCTTTTGGGTAGCTGGTGCTTTTGAAGTGGGTTCGGAAGTCCCTGTTTGTAAATGGGGTCAGGCAGCCTGCAAGTGGTCTATTCCTCCACAGTTAAAGCATTTTCTAACCTGGGGCGGGTTCCAATTAGCCAAGTCAGGGGCTTTCTTAACGTCTGCCTGAGCAGAAGCCCCTTCCCTTTTGGGTTGAGAATCCACCTTCCCACCCCTCTGGAACCCTTTTCCTTCCATTCCCAACTGGGAAGTCCTCCAGTTTAATCCCTCCCTGTTTAGCACCAGCCAATCCGCGATTTCTGATGCCTCAGTGGCATCTTTGGGCTGTTTGTCCTTTACCAGAAATTTTAGCTCCTTTGGGAGTTTTTGAATAAAATTGGTCTAGCACCGCTAACTGGAATAAAACCTCAAAGTCCCCTGCTTTTGCTTCTTCCACCTATTTCCTCCCCATCTCACTCATTCTCACAACACACTCAGACTAGGTTTTGCACTGCAGTGGGGACAAGCCCCAAAACTGCCTCCGAAAGTCGTCAGCCCCCAGTTTGAACCATTTAAAAACTGTGGTTTTGAAATCTTTAAAAGTTATTCCTGCCTGCACTCTAGGCATGCTATTGTGGATAGCTGCTAGCTCCCCAGTCAGAATGCTACAGAGATAGGACATGTGGTCTGCCTCTGCAATCCCCCAATGCATAGCGGCTTTCCCAAAAGTTGAAAAATATACTGCGGGGTCTTCACCCTTTCTGTATGGAACAAAATCTTTGGGGGTAACTTTTATTTTCCTGTTTCGCTTAGCCAGCAGGTGCATCATCTCAAGGTTGTGTTTTCACTGCTCCTCCTGCATGCTTTGCTGTTCCTTTTGCTGCTGCTCCTGTATCCTTTGCTGCTCTTTTTGCTGCTCCTCCTGCATCCTTCTCTGCTCCTTTTGCTGCTGCTCCTGCATCTTCTCCCTTCTCTCCTGCATCTTTTCTTCCCTCTCAGGCCTGCAGGCCTCCCTCTCCTCCCTCTGCTGCTCCTCTAGCATCTTCAGTTTCTGGAGTTCTATTTCCTTCTCTGCCTGCAAATGCAACTCCTCCAGCTCTAGTTCCTAGAGCTGCACCTTGTCCTGCTGGCTGGGGCACTCAGCTGCCCCTACTGGCTTGCCACCACTTAGCAGGAGAGCCTTCATCTCATCAACAGTCCTGTTCTCACAATCTATCCACTGCTTCTGGCATTCTTCCTGCAGCTTTTGCTTTGTCAGCTCAAGTATTCTCACTTGCTCTGCTAACTGCATCCTAGCTAGTCTGACCCTCCTCCAGGTGACCTGAAAAAAAATATCTTTCATTGCTCTGTGTGTGTGTCAAAATCACAATGCCTGGCCAATCAAGTTCTCTGTCCTTATCCCACTGTGCCACCAAATTGTGATGGAACAGACCTGCTCTGGCCTGCAAGCCCTGTTCCACTCTGCCCTCCAAGGTTTTTTCAATACCTGAAGAGGCTTTACTGTCTGCCTTTATTAACCTGACACCACCACCTGATCTTTGTAGAGCTCAGGTTTTAGGCTGCTTTTCAGTCACTTATTCCCCAAACAGCTTGCAAGAATTTTTAAAACATCAAAGAATATTTATATTATTCTCCGTGGAAAGGACTCTTAACTGAGCCAGAACCAGAAATAGCATGGGGGGTGGGGGTGGCCACCAGTGTTCCCTCTAATCTGAGTTAGTGTGAGCTAGCTCACCGTTTTTTAGCCTCCGGCTCACACATTTTTGTCTTAGCTCAGGAAGAAGGGCTCCAGAGCAAACTAATTCATGCAGCAGCCAAATCGCTCGCTCACAACTTTTAATGCCAGTAGCTCACCAAAGTAGGATTTTTGCTCACAAGATGCCGCAGCTTAGAGGGAACATTGGTGGCCACCTGTCTGTTTCCTGCCTTCCTATAGCAATTGGAAGCTCTCTACTTGAGCCGGGTCTGGGTGTGATAGAGTTGGTGCCTGGCTGCCTCCTTCACTCCTCCTGACACTGTACTGGGATTTGTCAAGTCTTTCATTCAGTAATGCTGTTATGTACCAGAATGTATTTGTTTTGCTGCTTGTGGCTTCTTTTGCAAATGTAACTGGATTTTTATTCTGTTTTCATTTTTGCACAGTTATGCAGGTTGTTAAAAGAATTTCCATGCAGTCCCCATTCCATTGATTTGGACTGTGTCAATTACATTCTCAAATGAAAGCAAACTCTTGTTCTTGCAAGAAATAGTAAAAATTATTCAGGCTTTTTTTTTGGCCGTCATTCTGTTCCTTGTAGCCATGTGTGCTAATTAGACAGCAGAAAAGCTACATAAAGTTTTATATGGCCATCATGTACAGCACTAAATTAACTTGTGCTGCATCCATTAATTAAAGGAAAGTTGTGTAAGGCATTGGTTCTATTAAAGTTTTCAGTACTGTTTCAAGATGGTTGTTTTACAGGCAGACATTTACCTTGAAAATGACCCAAGAGCATCCTCTTGAGATGACAGTCAGTCCCCCCACTCCAGTTGATACCTAGGGCATACAGAAATGTGTTCACAACTGTCTGTCCCCCATTCGTGGTGATCCTATACAATGGAGGTACAGCACAGTTTGAGTATCATCGGGAAATGACACAAGGTTGGCTGCTGCAGTTGAAGTGTATAAATATATATTTAGCAAATTTCCTGGTTGCCGCCGCTCCTGGAGCAGTGTTTCTGAGCCTTCCCTTTGCCTGCCTTTCAGACAGTTACAAGCAGTTACAAACAACACAAACAACAAGACGTTCTGGACAGGTGTCCTGACCCCTTTCAAGATCAGCATCCCCTCAGGAGCATCCTGCTTTCCCTGCAGGTCTCCCCCCCACCCCTTTGTCTCCCTCCCCCCTCCCTCTGCCCGTTGCTGTCCATTGGCAAAGTTCACATCTCCTTGCTGAGTTCTCCGGCTGTCCAGCAGGTGCTGCAGTTGCCTGGCACTTTCAGACCCACTGTTTGAAAGCCCCAAGACCTTGGCCTTGGAATTGCTGGCCTCAGGGAGGTACTGTGTGAGACCCCTGTTGGGGTGATCCCCTTGATCCATGCACATGACAACACTGCTCCACACACGGGTTTGGAGTGCAAAAAAGACTTTATTCGGGCTCAAGCCCACGCCACTGTTCTGCCTCCTGGCCTGTTTCCTTTGCTCTGTTAGCTAAAACAATAAATAAAAAGTCAATAACATAAGTAAAGTCAATGGAATAAATAAAAAGATCACTAAAAACAAGCCAAGCCAATTAAGAGACAGCCTAAAAGCACATAAAACAGAGCAGTCTAAAATGTTAGTAAAAACAATCCTCAGGCTAGGAGCAGATCATAAAACAACTAAAAAAGAAAGCCCTTAGTTAAAAGCATGGATAAGGAGAAATGTTTGGTCTGGTACCTTAAAGGGAAGATAGGTGGATATCAGGTAAGCCTCAAGGGGGAAGAGTATTCCAAAGGTGAGGTACCACGACAGGTAAAAGACCTGTTTCTGTGCATTGCACATCTTTGTTCTGTAGATAAGAGACACAGAGACTGACCTGATAAGGTTTCACCCTAGCTCAAAAAAGAGAAGGGGGAAGGGTGGTTGTATTCCAAAATGGGGCAAAACAAAGTACAGGGGAAAGCACACCGTGTGACTGCACACAGACTTTCAAATAAAAAGTAGTACAGTTGATCTAGCATAGCTAGTTACACTTTACCTAGACTGTAGTAAATTCCTCAGACCTGCAGGGTTCTTGCAGTAAAAAGATTTCAGAGGGGTCTTAACCTCGAACCACCATCCTCCAGTCACTAGATTCACACCGTTCTGATGGAGACAAAGAACAGGTCCAAACCTCCCAATTACTTATGGATAATGGAATCTGACCTAAACAGGCCTCCTCCCTAAGCTTGATCAGCTGTTTCAGCCAATCCAATGTAAAGCTCCATGCCTGATGTCCGAGGCTAGCGTTACCAATTAGACAATTACCAAATTTTTAATTTATTGATTTGGTTTATATCCTGCCCTCCCCCACAAGTGGGCTAAGGGTGGGTCACAAGAGGTCATTTCACAGTAAAACCAATATTAAAATATACAACTTAAATCCAGTTTAAAACCAATTCAGAATAAGATGGCAGGTCGGTTCATGGTAGACCAGAGTCCCTCCTGCATGGGTGCTGGCTGGATGGCCAATAAGGCATCCAATTCAACTAAAGATGCTGTGCAGATCTCTTCAGCATTGTAGGGCCATTAAAGTATTAGCATGGGGGGCTGAGATGGTTGGACATCTGCTGCCTCAACCGAAGGCCTGGTGGGACAGCTTCGTTTTACAGGCCCTGAGGAATTGTAATAGGTCCTGCAGGGCTTTGATCTCAAGTGGGAGCATGTTTCACTGGGCTGGAGCCAGGGCAGAAAATGCCCTGGCTGTGGTTGAGCCAAGACAGACATCTTTCAGGCTGGGGCTACTAGAAGGTGTTGATCTGCAGAGCATAAGGCTCTCTGGGGCACATATGGGGAGAGACAGTCCTGTAGGTATGTCGGCCCTGGCCGCCTAGGGCTTTGAAGGTTAATACCGAAACCTTGAACCGGATCCGGTACTAAATTGGCAGCCAGTGCAATTGGTGCAGCACCAGCTGAATGCACACTCACACAGAAGTCACAGTCAACAGGTGCGCCACCACATTTTCATTGGTGCAGCACCAGCTGAATGCACACTCTCACAGAAGTCACAGTCAACAGGTGTGCCACCACATTTCCCACGAGCTGCAGTTTCCGGGTCAGATTCAATGACAGTCCTGTGTAGAGCATGTTACAGTATTCCAGCCTGGAAGTGACCATTGCATGGGTCACTGTAGCTGAGTCCTGGGAGAAGAGATAGGGAACCAGTTGTTTGACCAGCCAGAGATGGCAAAAGGCTGATCTGGCAGTGTTGGTGACCTGGGCCTCCATGGAAAGTGAGGCATCCAGAATCACTTCTAGGCTTTTCACCCTCAGCGCTGGCTTCAATGGCACCCCACCCAGGGTTGGAAGCCGGAATAAATCCAGGATGGAGGCATCATCCAGGAAAACCTGGAGCTGCTCAGCCACTGCTCTTTCAACTACCTTACCCAGGAACGGAAGGTTTGATACTGGGCAGTAGTTGGCCAGGACTGCAGGGTCCAATGATGGTATTTTCAAGAGCAGTTGCACCACCGCCTCTTTTAAGCCCACTGGGAATATCCTAGAGGATAGAGATAGATTGATTATATCCCCCAGGGTCTTAATCCACCATTTCCGCAGGCCTTAATCCGCCAAGATGACCGTGGGTCAAAAAGGCAAGTGGTGGGCTTCACCGCTGCCAGGATTTTGTCAGCCTTCTCCTGGGAGAGCCGGCTGAAACAGTGTGAAGCAAGACTGGACCTGAAGACAGACAAGGGGCTTCTAGTACCCTTACTGTATCAATTGTGGGTGGGAGGTCCTGGCAGCGCGACAAGACTTTGTCTGCAAAATAGCTCGCAGATGCCTCACAACTGATAGCCAATTCCTTATCATTTTATTTGCCTTGTGGCAAGGAAGTCAACAATCTAATTGTCCTGAATAATTGGGCCAGGTGAGAGCTGGCAGACACAATGGAGGCTGCATAGAAATCCTTCTTAGTGGTCTTCAGTGCCATCTCATAGGCTTTCATAAATGACCTATAAGATGTTCTTGCAGCTTTGTCATGAGTATACTGCCACTCTTGCTTTAGCTGTCTCAGCTCTTGTTTCATCCTCCGTAGCTTCGGGGTATACCACAGGGCTAGTTTGATCTGAGAATGGGAAGGGCTCTGGGCGGTGATTACATCGATGGCTTCAGAGAGCCAGCTGTGCCAGTCCTCCACCAGCTCATCCAATGAATCACCAGGGGGCATCGGATCCCCCAGTGTCCTGAAACCTATTTGGGTCCATTAGTCTCCACAGGTGAGCATAAATTTGCTTGCTGCTGAAACAAGTAGGGTTAGGAGTGTTCAGCTGGGCCTTCAGAGTGAAGTGGTCAGACCATGGTGCTGCATCAGCAGCCTCCAGATCCACATTTATCCCCAGCCCCAAAATAAGATCCAGCAAGTGGCCCACTTGATGTGTAGGAGCCAATACAAACTGGGAGAGTCCCAGTTCCACCATGGATGACACTAAGTCCCTGGCCTGAGAGGATGCCACATCATCAGCATGGACATTGAAGTCCCCCAGGACCAGCAGCCTGGGGTATTCCAAAATCCAGCTTGATAAAGCCTCCAAGAAGCCCAGCAGGGTATCTGCTGGTGCATTAGGCAGTCAGTGCACCAGCCAGATAGCCAAACTCTCCTCAGCATCCCTTACTGGACCAACACATTCAGTGTCAGCAATTTTAGGTGTGGGGAGTGCCCTGAAAGAGAGAGGCTCCTGGATAAGCAACGCCCCCTCCACTCTTTAGTCTGAGACTGGTGAAGGACCAAGAAACGGGGGGGGGGGGCAAGTTGTTTCAGGGTGAAAGTCTCACCCTCCCTCACCCAGGTCTCAGTCACATATGCCAGGTCTATTTTTTTATTTTTTTATTTCGGATTTCTACCCAACCCTCCTGGCCGCAGCCGGCTCAGGGCGGTTTACATAAAACAATATTTTATTAAATATATTCCCGCAGACTATTATAATAAGTAAATATAAAGAAAACTATGGAAATTAAGGTCTACACTTTGCTCTTGCAGAACTTTGATCTTATTATTTATATACCTGGCATTGCACAACACCAGTGTTGGAGAAAGGTATAGTAGCCCCACAACCAACATCTCTCGGGATGGGATGCAGGTAGGAAGGAGACCAAGCCTTACCATATCTCTACCTCCTTCCCTTATTCCACCTTGTCCCACTGGCATACCTCCCCTGCCCCCTATTACTGGTATCCCCAACCTCAACATGGCCTCCCCTGATAGATCTTATTAGCCCAAATTTAGCCCAACTAAGCATAACAGGTCTGAACCCCCCAATATACAATAATCACTAACATTTCCCAACCTAATTCCCCTAACACCATCTCACTATTTCCCCAACCACCTCCCACCCTCAAAGCCTAGCAAATCGCCTACTCTACTAATAAATAAAATTCCAATTAAATTGTTAAATTAAAATTCTCAGTTCAAAATACAATCTAGTTAATCAATTTATAAAATTCATTATTCTAATTAATTTAGTATAAATTAATCAAATGCTCCTAATAGTAGGGATAAAACAAATCAATTAATTAAACCCTTCAATACTAGGCTGGGGGATGGGGCAAATTTGTTTCTGTGGTCAAGGTGAAATTTTACTTCTCTGGCCAAAGCAGCAGTTCATAGAGCAGAGCACTGTCTGCATTGCACTTCTTTCCCTCTGTGCCTGATAGAAGGTTGAAACAGCTGCAGTCTGTCACTTCTAACAAGTAGCTGTTAATGACTCTGAACTACCATGACAAACAGTTGGTCTCATCCAAACTGGTTTGGCAAGGTGGTCCAAAGTGGATTGGGGATGAATGGGTTATTCTGATGTAAAACCCAGGGATCCAAGATCCCGATCTTCTAGGGAGCAATTTTGTACCATATTAAAGGGTTTTTTTGGGGGGAGGGAGGGTCTTGTGTCACAATTAACTGTAGAGCAAGAATTTTAGTTTTCTTTCAATCCTTGTGCTGATTTGATTAAGGAATTGGGCTTAGTTAGAGAAGGGTAAGGATGCATGGCAGAGATCATACTTTAGGGAAAGTGTGGGTCCTTCATGGTAAAATATTTCAAGGTTTTGATCAGTTGCTCCTGAAAACATTAAAAAATGACACTTGCAGAAGGTGGCCATTTCAACACAAACCAGACTCACTTCTCTTCCCTTCCCCTCCTTGTTTAGTTTCCCTCTGCGCTTCCTTACCTTTCCTTTTTCCTTTACCCTAATACTCCCCATGTTGTCCATCCACATTCATTCATTGCACTACCTTTCATTCCCCAACTGCCAGTGCTGAAGCCCAGCAAAGACATTTCTAGGTCTCTGCTGCATTTGTAAATATTCATTGGTAACTTGGGCACTCATAAGTCAGGGAGTTATTGTAAAGTGCCAAATTTTCACAATATACATCTCCTAAAAATGCACTGCATTTGTTTCTGACGCCACTGTCTCTCTACTAGTCGTCTCAGTTCTCGCTTCACCAGCCGCAGCTCCTGGGTATACCAAGGAGCCCGCCTCAGACGAGTCCGGAGAGGACACCTGGGAGCGATCTCATCAATGGCTGCTGCCAGTCCTCCGCCAGCTCATCCAATGAGCCACCAGGGGGGCTCAGATCCCGCAGAGCCCTCTGAAGCTGCAATGGGTCCATCTGGTTTTGCGGGTGAGCATAAATCTGCTCACCGCCTACAACAGGTCGGGGTGGAACATTCAGATGGGCCTTCAGAGCCAGGTGGTCGGATCATGGCACTGCTTCAGCAGAAATCCGACCCACCACAAACTCCGCCGCAAAGATCAAATCAAGCATGTGAGCAGCCCGATATGTGTGGGCCGATACAAACTGCGAGAGTCCCAGCGCCACCATGGATGACACCAGGTCCGTAGCCCGACTTGAGGTCGCATCCTTGGCATGGACGTTGAAATCACCCAGGACGATCAGTCTAGGGTGGTCCAACGCCCAGCCTGATACGGCCTCCAGCAGGGATGGTAGGCTACTGGCTGGTGCATTAGGCGGTCGGTACCCCAGCCAGATCGCCACACTCTCCACAGCCTCCAACATCACGCCAACACATTCTAAGCCCGCAATCTCCATGGGCGGGGACACCTTGAAGGAGTAAACCTCCCGAATGAAAATAGCTACTCTCCCCCCCCAGTCCATGATTGGTGAAGGACCGAATAACCCAGGGGGAAAGCTGGGTGAGAGCTACTGTCTCACCCTCCCTCACTCAGGTCTCGGTCACGCATGCCAGGTCCGCCTGATGTTCCATCACAAAATCCTGAAGGGTTGTGGTTTTGTTGTTAATGGACCTGGCGTTACACAACACCAATGACGGAGGGGGGTTATCAATCCTGGCCCCACTGCCAGCCACCCTTGGGATGAGCCATAGGCTGGAAGGAAGCCGAGCCATTTGCAGTCTCCACGTCCTTCCCTTAATAACATGCCTTGGCCCACCGCTAAACCTCCCCCTCCCCAAGAGCACTGGAATTTGCTGTTCTGACATAGTTAAGTCCTCTGGCCGTCTTCGTTGTACTTCAGACCGCCAGGTCAAAGAGAAAACAGGATGGTCCACGCAAAATTTCAACAACCAATACAATTAAATAACCCTATCCCCAGTGTTCCCAGTCAGACAGCACATCCACCCAGCATTCATTCACTAGCAGCCAGACGTCATCCACCCTGCTGGCGAAACAAGGAGCAGGTACCCATTTATCTACTTGCCCTGGCCCTTGTCGATACTAGCCTAGTTTCTCAAGGGCCCGGAAGGGCCAAATAATTTTGGAAACCTGATTGTAGCGCTCTCTGAGGAATGTATGGGGAAAGGCGGTCCCTCAGGTATGTCGGTCCCTGACCATATAGGGCTTTGAAGGTAAGAACCAGCACCTTGAAATGAATTTGGTATGCTATAGGCAGCCAGTGCAGTGCTTTTAGCGCAGGCTGGATGTGCTCCTGTGTAGGAAGACCCAACAACAGCCTGGCTGCTGCGTTCTGCACCGGCTGCAGTTTCTGAATTTGAGACAATGGCAGCCCCACGTAGAGAGCATTACAGTAATCCAGTTTCAAGGTGACCATCGCATGGACCACTGTTGCCAGGTCATTGCGTTCGAGGAAGGAAACCAACTGCTTAATAAGACGAAGATTATAAAAAGCTGACTTCTCAGTGGCTGCTACCTGGGCCTACCTGGTCATCCAAGAGCACTCCCAAGCGCCTAACCTCCGATGCTGGCACCAACAGTGGCCCATTAAAGGTCAGGAGTTGGATCCCTACTTTTGGCCCGCTCCGACCCACGCACAGGACCTCTGTCTTCATTGGGTTCAATTTCAGTCAGCTCAGTCTAAGCCCAACAGGGCTTGTCTTCCTCCACTTCCCAATTTTCTCAGCCAATTAATTCTCAAGTTTTGTGCCCCCCTCCCCATTCCTCTTGCCTTTAGTCTCTTAAAAGACCCTAGTACAGATTCAGAGTCCCCTTCTCTCTCCAGATTGCTACAGGGGGGACTAATCTCTCTTACCTTTAATGGAGTATAGCTCGTTGCATCCAATCTCAATACAGACTTGCCCTGTCCCTTCTCAGTTAAATAAGTTTTGGTTTGTCTGTAAGATTATATGAGAGGGTGGTTGGCTGGTTCCTCTAGACTGCTGTAAAATAATTTCAGCATAGGTTTGGTAAACATTTGACACTGAGCTTGTAGCTAATTTGTCTAGAATAAGTAGTCTGAAAAACCACTTTAACTTTCATACAGCCAGAACCTAAAACACAAGAACTGAAAATGAATTACTACTTTAAAATGTCTAAGTAATGTTCTTAAGCTTGTTGTTAGCTTTGAGGTCAGAGGAATTATCAGGATTTAATTGCTTGTATCAAAGCCAGCTTTCTAGTGTCTTTTCTGTCTCATTTTCCACATCTGAGTTTTTCATACAATTCACTGCCATGGGGGTATACTTAGTTGCATTCATACTTCAGCTACTCTGTTGAGTTATATCATTCAACTAGAAATAATGCCCGTTGCAGAAATAAATACAACGGGATCTAGAAAGAGGCTCTGGGAGAACTGAGCTTGTAGCTAATTTGTCTAGAATAAGTAGTCTGAAAAACCACTTTAACTTTCATACAGCCAGAACCTAAAACACAAGAACTGAAAATGAATTACTACTTTAAAATGTCTAAGTAATGTTCTTAAGCTTGTTGTTAGCTTTGAGGTCAGAGGAATTATCAGGATTTAATTGCTTGTATCAAAACCAGCTTTCTAGTGTCTTTTCTGTCTCATTTTCCACAGCTGAGTTTTTCATACAATTCACTGCCATGAGGGTATACTTAGTTGCATTCATACTTCAGCTACTCTGTTGAGTTATATTATTCAACACTGTGATCTTAAACTTGATATATCGAATGAATTTTTGAGAAAAGACATTACATGTGTAGACTGGAGGGAGTTGAAATGTGATGTGATCACTTTTCCTTTAAAAAAAAACAAAAACCTTTCTGTGCTGCTTGACTGTTCCGAACTCCTGACCTACTGATGAAGGGCTAGCAAAATGGGAAACTTGAAGCAGCTGGTACCTAGAAACCTGAAACGAATACTTCATGCTGACATCTGCTTCTTTTAAAGATCCCTGTATTTAGGAACTGGAGATTTCCCCCTGGTTGTTAATGCTGTATGTTGCAACTGTGCATAAGGGGTGGGTGGAGGGGGTTAAGAGATGTCTTAGGTGCACCTGTTTTACACAGTTCTTCTTATTGGTACTGAATATATATTATAAGGTATGGAATGTCTTTTGGATCATTCTGTTTTTACTTGATATCTTTGAAGTTTGTGTCTTATCTGTTTTCTTATATTACACAATATTTTTTTAAAGTGTTGTATTTTGGCACCATAAAAAAATTTAAGCCCTTATTTAGTACTTTTTTCTGTGCTGGTTAATGGCCTACTAGATACATTTACTACTATGTCTTTTTCGGAGGATGTGATCTGCCTCGACCTAAAAAAGATTCCATGAAAGAAGTTCCTGCACAACCCTTATTGGGTCCCTGTTGTCTATAATAATGTTGTCTATTTCTAAGACAACTAGCATAAGATTCCTCTGAAGTATCTGTTTCCTCACCAGAAGTTTCTGTATCAGAATACATTTGTAATGGTGATGCCCAAGAAACTCTTTTACCCAATATATTTGTCCACCAGGAATAAATATTTGTCGGAGAATAATCTCTCCTATCTCTTGCTAATTTTCTATTTTTGGATTCTCTAGTTGTAGCTCCAAAGTCCAAAACCTGTTTCTCTAGTTCTGCGAGTCTATTAAAAAATTGATCCTCATATTTTTCTTTGAGAGACTCTGTTGTGGTTATTATATCATTTTGAATGGTATTCACAACCTCCTTAGATTTACGTATTACTAAAAGCATCAAGTCCTCTGAACATTTGCTAAATATTGCCGCCCAACCAGCTTCATCGTTATGAAACATAGCTGGTGGTTTATTAATACGTAAACCCTGTGGAATAATATTTTCTCAAGAATACTGAGAAAGGTATGTAGCATGCAGTTGTACCTTAATGGATTTTTTTTGGAGGAAAAAAAAGGTTGCTCCTAGTAAACTCCCAGGAACATTCAAGTCTGCCAATATTTCTTCTTTCTTCTCTTTAGAAAATGTCAGTTTACCAGTTTGTGCCATGGCTCAAAATAAAGTTGGGTAAACCAAAGGACCACACAGGAAAGATTGTGTAAAACCAAAAATAAACCACACCGTGCTAACTTATATCACAGATTCTCTATTATTGTATAATAAAAATGATACAAAGCTTAAAAGAACTTAATGATACTTGTACATCGATTGCATAACCCTCCTGGGTATATAGACCTCTAGCCGCAGAGCATGAGGGGAGACCCACTCCAGGGTAGGGTTGCCAAGTCCCCCCAGGTGGCGGGGAAGCCCCCGCCTGAGAGGCCCGTTCCCCGCCGGCAGGGATTGGGCTGCCGAGAGGGGACCCCACCCCCAAAGCGCACGACGTACCCGGCGTGAACACGTCACCTGGAGGTGATGTAATCACGTCGGGCATATTGCGGGGGGATGCTCTATCATCCGAGGGAAAACTCTATGTTTTGTGAACAGAATGCATTTGTGAACAGAAGTTGAATCTCTTGGCCAAAACAATAAAACTACGCTCATGAAGGCTGTAGGAATGGGGTTGGAGCAGCTGTGGGTCAGCGGTAGAGCATATGTTTTGCATTCAGCAGGTCCTGGGTTCAATCTGAGGCATCTGCTTTGGGCTATTTATTTATTTATTCTGATTTTTATCCTGCCCCTTGCCCAGCAGTTGGGGACTGGGGCAGTTAACTGCGTAAATACAAACCATAAATAAAAATACAAATATTTTATAAAACAGTTTAACACACTGGAACTCTGGCATGACTATCAGAGAAGCTGATAGTAAGCCCATAAAATGGTCTCTATGGAATGCCTGGAGGAATCATTGCATTTCACAGGTGCTGCAGAACCTAGACAAGGTCCCGCAGGTCGTGAGTCTCATCAGACCAGAGCATTCCACCAGGTTGGGGCCATGATTGCGAGGGGAAAAAAACAACCTGATTGAAGTTAAACAAGCTACTCAAGGGTCAGGCACCACCAGAAGTCTGTGTGAAGCAGAATGCAAGCACCGTGGGAGGTCGTGACGGGAGAGGGGAGTCCTTTAGGTATGACTGTCTCAGATCTTTTAGGGCTTTAAAGGTTAAAACCATCGCCTTGAATGTGACCTGGAAGCCAACTGGAAGCCAGTGCAGCTGCTTCAAAATAAGCTAAATATGTGCAGACTATAATATATCCATCAACAGCCTGGCAGCCACATTCTGGACAACCTTAAGTGTCCAAAGCATCTTCAGGGTCAGCCCTGCAAAGAGTGGAATGCAGTTCTCTTCTGTTACAACTTTTCCTCTGCTTGCCTGCCAACGTAGTGGTGGTCAGGGTGCAGAGCGTGATGGTAAGGCTTAAAGTGCTTGGCGCTCAAGAAACTCTTAGTCTGAGTATGCAATTTTGTTCCTACTTAATAAGCTAACTACATCATGGGCAAGGAGCAGGTGCTTTTGAAGTATGGGCAGAGCCTTTAATCTTAAGTGACTTAATTTGCGACGCTGGCAGTGTCAGTTACAGAGCCTGTACCGCTGGGTTTCTAATCTCCATTCAGATATGATGCAGGCAGGGGGGAAAGAAATGAAACATTAAGGCTTAAAACTTTAATATATATTTTTAAATATTTCATGTGCATACTTTCCCTGCATACTGCATCCACTTCTCATGTGCCACACAGACTGAGCTGAAAACATTTATGCCAAACATGGTTTGCGAACTGTCGAGGTTTGTTTTGCTGTCGAAGGCTTGTTTGTGTTTGTGTTGCTTCTTTGTCACCCTGTTTATGGTGTCCAGGAGGACTGCAAAACCAAGTGCAGGGAGTACATTTAGTATTAAAAAGGATTTCATACCTGCCTGTCATGATAGTCTCTTCTGTTTAATATGTTCACTTACATGCTTGCAGGGGGGGAAAAAGTTACCATTCTTCTCTGAACAGGAGAATCAGGCATGATCTTGGGTACAATTCCTTCCTGGTAGCTTCTGAGGCTTATCATCATCATCATCATCATCATCAATTCCTTCCTGGTAGCTTCTGAGGCATATCATCATCGTTGTCGTCATCATCATCATCATCAGTATCATCAATATCATCATCAATATCATCAGTATCATCATCAATATCATCAATATCATCCAATTTATTAATCGCTCAATCCTGCTGGTGCTGGCTCTGAGCGATTTACAGTTACACATTCACAAGGGGCTAACAATGATTCATAGGGGTAAGGGAGGACAACATATATAGAAATCTTTACATTGCACACGTTCGCAGCCGACGGGGATTTTTTGCTCAGTTGTAGACTCAGACATGTTCCAGACAGCATTTTCCACTCGGCATGGCTTGATGACGTCAGCTTCTTTCTCCAGGACTCTTCATGTCGCAGCGCCGCACTGCTGCCGCCTGGCTGGAACGGCCCATTACAGGCTTCTTGATGCCGAAGAGATCTTCTAGGCTTCCGATCTTACGAGCTGAACATTCTGTTCGCCGGCTAACACCTCCCCCACCGGGGGATTTTGGTGTGCCCACCCTCTCTAAGGAGTGGTACCCATTTTATCTACTCGCCGAAGCTTTCGAACTGCTGGGTGGACGGCGAGCTGGAGACAAGGCTGGTAGCTCACACCAGCGCGGGGCTAGAACTGACAGCAGTTCAGCTCAGATGTTACTTGTAACCAGAGGATAAATCCCCCTCTAGCACCATCCTGCTGATCCAAGCTTAGTTGTAGCTGCAGGTCCAGTCTGACTAAAGGTGAAATGTGATGTGATGTACCTTTCTGAACTGGTAATGGTATGCGACATTGTGACCTGGCAGCAGTAGATCAGCTGGAGTGGGACAATGGACACCTCTGCAACCTAGACTAACTAGGGGGCAAAAAAGTCTCAGAGACATGAACCATGATGTAATGTACTTTCTGTTGGCGATAGTCACGTGTGTTGAAGGTTGCAGATGGAAAGCTAGAGGTTGTATTGCACGGAGGCCAAGTATGGACAGCGGGCCAGGCAGAGGGGCTTCCGTTCCATCTTCTCATTGGCCCCTTGCCTGCAACCTGCTGTTAACTTGGTTTCCATGGAGGATGTGACTTGATATTTTGAACAGTTTTTCTGTTTCTTTTTCAAAATAAAGTTAGTTGACCCCTACCCTGTTTTCTGTTTTTACAGAAGCCTTTGAGATGGTTGTACGACATGCAAGAAACTACACTAATACCATGTTCAGAAACTCTTACCGCAACATGGCTGCCAAGGCTTTTAAATTCGTGGGAGAATTTTTTACTGACATCTCTCTGTATATCCTGGGCTCGGACATTAATGTCAATGACATGATAAATGAGTTCTTTGATAGCTTGTTCCCTCTAGTCTACCCACACCTAATTAACCCAGGCTTCCCTGATCCTTCTCTGGAAATGACTGAGTGCCTCCGGCTAGCAAGGCGAGACCTGAAGGTATTTGGAAATTTCCCCAAGGTCATGATGACACAAGTGTCAAAGTCTCTGCAAGTGACTCGAGTCTTCCTTCAGGCACTCAACCTTGGCATAGAGGTGGTCAACACCACCGACCATTTGAAATTCAGCAAGGACTGTGGGCGAGCTCTTTTGAAAATGTGGTACTGTCCCCACTGCCAGGACCTCATGATGGCCAAGCCATGTGCCGGATTCTGCAATGTTGTCTTGCAAGGGTGCCTTGCCAGTGTGGTAGAGATAGACAGTTACTGGCGAGAATACCTCCGATCTTTAGAAGGCTTAGCGAAAGGCATGCGGAGCATCTATGACATGGAGCACGTACTTCTCAACCTCTTCTCCTTGATACGGGACTCAATTATGTACATGCAGAAAAACGCAGAGAAGCTGGCTGTAACGGTGAGTCCTGCTATGGTTTCTGTAGATCCCGTAGAACATTTTTTCTTGAGGGTTGGGTGTCTATTGTAAATCAGTTTCCGGGGAAGGGGAAACGCTACTTCAAAATGGAAGAAAAAAAACAATTTGTGTGTCATGCAATTTTGTGTGGAATCTTACTTAATGCAGAATATATAATCTCTCTGAATTGTCACTGAATAATTTCAGAAAGCCCTAAGCTTGCTGTAAGAGCTTGGGTAACTTTGAAGAAAAGAACTTGAGATAGCAGTGCATGAGTGAGAGGGTCCCCTCTTTGCTTACATCACATTTCCCCAGAAGTAAAGAGCAGGAGAGAGGAGCGCAGGCCCAGCAACCAAACTCTATCAGAAGGCTGTTCCTTAGTCAAGGGTGGTGTGTCCTGTGTTTGAGGGGGCCTTTGGTGCAAGCAGTTGCAGAGTAGGGCTCTGGTAAAAGTGTGTATAGTGTTCCTCTCCCTGCGTTGTCTTTTCTTTTCCTGTTGCTTTGAGCCAAGACGAAAAGCTGAATATAAATATTTGAATTTACTACCCTTCAAAATACTCTTATCTTTGTAGGAGTTCTTTAGAATCATTCCACAGTATAGCTGAATGTATCAGCACTGATTAACTGTGCAGATATTTTTCTTCTCTCCTGGGTGCCCCAGGAGTAGCAATATGACTTGTTCCGGCAGGAATATGACTTGTCTTCTTAAACTGGTAGTGATCACCAGTCCTGAGACACATTTAATTCTATAATAATTCTGGGGCACTCTTGGAGGCAATATTGCCCAGGAATTTAATATGAACAGAATTCAGCAGATTCTTGGCTGAACGTTTCATGTTTGATTAACATGGTTAGTCACATTGTGGGATAGTTCTTCGTTCTGTACCTTCAAAAGCTAATGCTAGTTGTTGTAACTCAGGATTAGGTATGTTTGTTTGTTTGTTTGTTTGTTTTATTATATTTCTATCCTGCCCTCCCCGCGAACGAGCTCAGGGTGGCTCACAATTAAGGGCACCCTGTGCCAGATATATAAAACATACAAAAACATATAAAACAAGATAAAAACAACCATATGTTACAATTAAAGTGCTCAGTGATGTTAATCCTTCAGATGAATTTAGATGGTGTGTTGTAGATGTAACACAAAGTCCCAGTTCAGCGTGACCGATCCATCACGATGCTGCGGCTCGATCTTCATACAGGGCCAACCCACTACCCCGTTGTTAGTAACGATAATAGTTGGTGGTAGTGGTAGTGGCGGCTCCTAATTAAAAGCCTGGTGGAAGAGCTCCGTCCTGCAGGCCCTGCAGAACTGTAAAAGGTCCCGCAAGGCCCTGATCTCCTCTGGGAGCTCGTTCCACCAGGTAGGAGCCGCCACTGAAAAGGCCCTGGCCCTGGTTGCAGCGAGCCTGGCCTCCCTGTGGCCTGGAATCACTAACCAATGTTGTGACCCCAACCATAGTGCTCTCTGGGGTATGTGTGGGGAAAGGCGATCCCTCATAGTATACTATTGCACTTGCAGGAAGTGTTATACTCAGTGGTATAGTCAGAAGACTCCTGCATCAACCTCACACAGTTCCAGTAAAAAAAAAAAAGAGTAGCAAAACTAGAAAATCACTTCCCTAAGATTTTGGAGACCAATGTCAATTTGGAGTCCACAACTATTGGTCCACGTGGACCAATGGTCCAGATTTGTACAAATCCTTTTGAAATGCATAAGGATATTGGGAGGGATAGTAGCTTGGTGGTAGAACATATACTTTCAGTACACAAAGTCCCACCTACTGTCCATAGGTGCTGTGGGATCCATTTTAGGAGACTTGGGAAGCTGACAGCTCTAGTAGGAAATACTGTGCTAGATGGACTGGTGGTCCGGCATTGATCGAAGACACTTAGACAAGCAACTGCAGGGTCCTTCAGAAGTCTTTTTGCAAAGGGGAGTGGAGGAAATTTCACTCTTAGTTGAAACAAAATGAAGCCATAAAGGGTGATGAAGTATTTCTACCTTACAACAGCTCTTTAATTGCAAGGTATTAGCTGCCGAGGAGGGAGAGAAAGGGCAGGAGATTTTAAGCAAATGACTTTTCTGTTCTGGGATTAATAACTCGTGAACAATTTACTGGTACATTAAAGGTAAACAAAGATCCAAATGGGTAACCAGAGGAGAGTCTTGATTAAGATGCTTGCAGAGAAGGGGGGTGGTATTGCATTGCATTTCAGTTATTTCTTGTAGAGAGAATATTGCCGAAGGGTATGAGAGCCCTCCAGTAACTGTCAGAGTAGGCAGCTGAAGGTTAGCAGGTTTAGCCCTGTGGGGGTGTCACCATAATTATAAGACTTCTTAGCTGATCAATTTGAGCTCATCTTATCAGTCTAAATCTACATATGACAAAAAGTAACTTCCTTGAATATTAAATGATTGATTTATATGCTCAGTTATCACAATCTGAGGAGGAACATTTCCCTTCTGTGTCTGAAAGGAACTATTTTCCCTTTCTAAGATGGCAGCTGCCATCTGCTTTTTGAAAATAAGTAGTAGCATTAAAAGCAAAAACCTCCAAAAGGAGGGTTCTCTGATCAGAAGCACCTCTTTCTTAATCACTTAATCTAGCGAATTAATCACTTCTATGCTGCTGTCTTTTAGAAAGACTCTTTGAGTTACAGGCTGCCTAAAGTTCAGAGGATTCAGGACAGAGGAGTCCCAAGTTCCAGTCATACTTTGCCATGAAGTTCACTCTAGCAACCTGGAGTCACATGATGTCTCTCAGCGTAGCCTACATCAGAGATTGGCTGGCAGGGTAACATGGCATCAGGGAGAAGTGAAACTTAAATGTGATAGGACTAGGGCTGCCAAGTGGGGGCGGGTGGCGGGTAACCCCCCGCTTCGGAGGCCCGATTTCCGCCGCCATGGAATCGGGCCCCGGGGGGAACTCCGCCCCCCGAAGTGCAGTGTGGCTGCGTCACTGGAGGTGACACAACCACGTCAATCACGTTGGGGGTGCGGCCCCAATCATCGGAGGGAAAACTCTATGGTTTTCCCTCCGACGATCGGGGCCACACCTTCAACGTGATCGATGTCGCATGTCACTTCTGGTGATGTGCTGGCGGCCCGTGCGCGCTTTGCGCATGCGTGCGCACATTGAGGACCGGCTCCTGGAGTCCGGCAAGGCTCCCCTGCCAGTAAGAAGATTGGACTTGGCAACCCTAGATAGGACAGAGGCTCTCTGGGTTAGTAGAAAGGCAGACTGGGGCCTTGAAATCTTGCCTGCCTTGGTTAGGGTTATACTCATCTTGAAAAGCCAGATTCGCTGCTTGGGAGTCCGACTGGACACAGCAGTTACCTTAGAAAACTGCGGTAGTTCAGAGTGCTTTTACTGGCCAGCGGTGTCAAACTCATTTGTTATGAGGTCTGGATCTGATATAAATGTCACTTTGTCCGGCTGGGCCATGTGTGCCATGACTTGTAATGCCAGGGACTGGAGATATTTTACTGCTGACCATGACCCATACCCCTCCTCAGCAGAGTTCAGGGCCAAACCAGCCCGCCTCACCCCTTATGGTTGCCAACTCTGGATTGGGCAATCCTGGAGATCTGAGGGAAGACCCTGGGGAGGGCCTGTGTTTGGGGAAGGGAAGGACCTCAGCAGGGGGTATTATATAGACCCTTTCAGTCCACATTCAGACTGGTTTCCCCCAGCTGCTCACAGGCCGAATAAGAGCCCCGGATGGGCCAGTTTCAGCCCGCAGGCTGTATGTTTGGCATGTCTATTTTATCCAGCTGCACCCATTCCTGGTTCAGTCAAATCTAACTACAGTGATCTATGCCTTAGCTACATCTAGACTGTACTATTGGAATGTACTCTACTTAGGGCTACCCTTGAGGAGTGTTCAGAAGCTGTAGCTAGTGCAAAATGCAGCAGCTTGACTGCTAGTCAGGGCCAATTTATTGGGAGCATGTGGTCCCAATATTACAGCAATTACACTGGCTACCAACCAGCTCCTGAGCCTAATTTAAGGTTCTGGTTTTGACTGTTAAAGCCTTACACGGCTTGGGACCAGGATATCTGAAGGCCTGTCTTCTCCCATATGTTCCTGCCTGGGAATTAAGATCATAGGGAGAGGCCCTCCTGACTGTCCCATCAACCCAAGAAGCCTGTTTGGTAGGTCATGAGAGAGGGCCTTTTTAGTGCCAGCCCCACGATTATGGAACAACCTCCCCAGGGAGGTGTGCGTGGCCCCCTCACTTTCAATCTTTAGGAGGTAGTTGAAGATGGCTTTATTTAGGACTGCATTTGATTGATTTGGTGGCATTCTTAATTTTTGGGTTTAAATTCCCTTTTTATGACATTTTATCTATATTGTAAGCTGGCTTGATTTCCATAAGGTGAAAAAGCAAATAAAATATGTTAAGTGTGTGTGTGTGTATACACACACACACACACACAAGGGGGCGGGACCTGCGACACTCGCGGGGGGGGGGAGGAACCCTCCACACAGGAGGCAGAGGAGGAAGCAGCAAGAGGAGGTAAGTCCCCCCCGTCCTGCCGGTTCCTCCCCCTTCGCTTCTACCCCCCCTGCTCGATCTC